ATGAGGCCTTTTCCCGACCCCTGGGGCACCCCAGCCAGGTACCTGAGCTCGAGCTGCCGGCGCTGGCCCTGAGCCCGGGCCTGTGCCTGTCAGCACGTCGGGGCCAATGGCCCATGCAGCAGAGAGTGAATGGGTGCAGCTGCCAGGCTTCAGATGCCAGCTACTGACTGTCGGTAGTGTGTGTGTTTCTGTAAGAGTGAATGAGCAGGGCTAGTGCAGGCGTGACAGGGTGAAGGGTGAACCACAGCCTGGCATCAGGTCACACAGTGGCCGAGGTAGGCTTGGGACGGGAGGGTGCATGGGACCAGAACACAGGGCCCAGGAGGCTCGGACCAGAGCAAATTTATTTATTTGTTTAGTTATTTTTTAATGTTTATTTAATTCTGAGAGAGAGAGAGAGAGAGAGAGAGCATGAGCCGGGAGGAAGAGAGAGGAGGGGACAAGTTTGGGCTCAGGACGTGGGCTGGATGACGCCAGGAGGGAGACATCGAGCAGACAAGGAGGCCCAGCAGGAGGGGGGGCACCCAATAATGTGGTGTGTCCAAACCCAGAGCTGAAATGGGGTTTGAGACTCTCCTCCGAGGGGGAGGCGTCACCGCTTCTGGCGGAGGGACAGAAGGGTGAGGCCCGATCATGCCCCTGGGAGGCCTCTGCCAAGACCTCCCGAGTCCGCGAGCTGAATCCTCTTCCTTTTCCTCCGGGCCACACCATCTGGTGGTCCCTGGGAGCCAGCGATCTCACCACGGCTCATTTCTGAAGCACTTAAGTGTATCCGCTCTGATCACTCGAACGCTACCGGGCTATCCCACGGCCTTTCTCGGATGCTAATCCACCGCCACCTCACTGCTGCCCCTTCGGAACCTCTCTGCCCCTGCCTGCTCCCTCCGCTGTCTCTGCGGAAACGGCTGGCCCGTTTTGTCCCTGAACTCCCCACCCCAAAGCCAAAGGCCTTCCGCACAGCCATTCTCTCCTGGTCCCAGCCTGCTATCTCGCTGTTCTCACTTCTGGTCCTGACTCGGTCTTTCTCACTGATATTGTGGCTAGAATCAGGTTTCACCATCTGCCTCCTCAGCTCCAGCTTCAAGCCCCTGGTGTGTTCTAGGACCTGAACCATCACCTGCCGCTGCTCCAGCTTCCTCTTCTCCGCTGTCGCCGCCCCTGCACCCCCCCCCAAGAAGTGCAGTAATTTATTGATGGACAATAATCAAAACCGCTTGAGGTGTACAATTTGATGAATTTTGACATCAGTGCGCTATTTCCACAAACCAACTACGGTCAAGGCAACAAGCACGTCTATCATCTTCAAACTTTCTTTTTGAAACCTTTGTAACTCCTTCTTTTTATCGTTTGTTTATTTTTGAGATGGGGGGCGTGGAGATTGAGCTGCGAAGCAGGGAGGGACAGAGAGAGAGAGAGAGGGAGACAGAGAAGTCTCAAACAAGCTCCAGGCTCCTGAGCTACAGAGCCCTAAGACGTGGGCTTGAGGTGCAGGGCCATGAACAACTGTAAGATCATGACCAGAGCTGATGTCAGACACGCTGATCGACTGGGCCACCAGGCTGTTCTTTGTGACTCCTAATCTGCTGTTACTTGTGTTGTTTTATCTTTTGAGGATTGTTTAGAATGGAGCCAGGCGTGGTAATTTTTCAAAACTGGCTTTCTCCTCTCAACAGTTATTTTTAAATCTCTTTATGTTATTCCCAGACACAATGGTTCAAGATTTTATAAATCCTAGCCTGGGCCTAGTCAGCTGAGGTTTGACTTCAGTTCGGGGTCACGGGGTCTGCTGTTGTCATGCAGGAACCCACTGCAGACCCTCTGGTCCCCCCCTCTCTCTCTGCCCTCCTGGCTCTGGCCTGTGCTCTTTTCTCTCAAAAAAATAAACGTTAGAAAAAAAAAAATGTAGTGGGGTGCCTTGGGTGGCTCACTGTCGGAAAGGTCTGATTTCTCGCCCAGGTCAATGACCCTCACTGTCCCTGCTCAGCCCTACATCGGGCTCTGTGCTACAGTGTGTGGGCCTGTTTAGATTCTCTGTCCCCTCTGCCCACTCAACCTCTATCTCTCTCAAAAATAAGTAAATAAACATTTTAAAACAGCCAGGTTTAAACTTCTACTCTTCCAAAGACAGTTACAAAAAAAAAAAAAAAATGAAAAGGCCAGGCACATACTGAGGAATATATTCAAAATATACATGGACAAAGGACTCATATCTCGTACTTGTAAAGGTCTACAAACGAACAATAAAAGATAAACATTCCAATAATTACACTGGCAAAAAAAAAAAAAGCGAATAAAACATTCTACAAAAAAAAATGTATAAATGGTGAGCACAATGAAAAGATACATCATTAGTGATTATAAAACCCAATTTATTTTTTTTTTTGCCAAGCATCTTTGTTTATTTTGGAGAGACAGAGACAGAAAGCAGAGGAGGGGCAGAGGGAGACACAGAATCTGAAGAGGCTCCAGGCTCTGAGTTGTCAGCACAGAGCCCGGGACATCGGACTCAACTCACGGACTGTGAGATTATGACCTGATCTGAAGTTGACGCTTAACCAACTGGAGCCACCCAGGTGCCCTTAGCAAAGTACTTAAAAATGCTCACCGAAAATGAAATCCTGGGACATGTGGATACCCATAGGCTAAGGTCTGACCTTGATTTGGGCTCAGGTCATGATGTCAGGTGGTTGGTGAGTTTGAACCCCGCATCATGGGTTCCTTGCTGATGCGCAGAGCCTGAGATTCTCTCTCTCCCTCTCTGTCTCTGCCCTCCCACGCCCTCTCTTTTCTCTCTCTCAGATAAACGAAAAAAGAAATGAACCTGCCATTTGCAGCAACATGGATAGATCTATATACTGCAGCAAGGAAATAAGCCAGTCAAATTTCATTCATACGTGAAACTAAGACACAAAACAAAGAGACAAACCAGACTTTAACTACAGAGAACAAACTGATGGTTATCAGAGGGAGGGGGGGGGGGGACGGATGAAATATTTAGCAATAAAAGAGTATGCTACTATGCGATAAGCACCGTGGCAGAATTGTGGAATCACCATATTGTTCACCTGAAATGAATATAACACTGTATGAACCATAATGGAATCCAGTACCAAACAAAAAAGCAATGAACCACTATATGTTCAATTAAAATGGCTGAAATTTAAAGATGAGACCACCAAATGATTATGAGGATGAAGAACAATAAGACCTCTCACACACTGTTAGGGAATGCAAAATGGTACAACCACTTTGGAAAAACAGTTTGAAATTTCATGAAAACCAGTGTATACCTATGCAACATACTCTACAAAAAAAGGGATATAACCAATAAATACTTGTACGCAACAATATAGAAGCTTTGTTCCTAATCTCAACAAAGTAATAACTCAAAGCCACGCAATGGAATACTACTTAGCAATGAAACGTTCATTGAACATCTCAATCGCTATGAGCATTCCATGACAGTGTACGCAATGCTGCATTTACCCACTAGAGGGGCCAAAAGCCCACTCCATTTCCAGTTCCATCAAATTTGTGTAGTCCTTACCACAGCAGGCAGGCAGACAGGGCATTAACCCCATTTTCTTTAACCCCATTTAACTGGTGGGAAAACAAAGGCCCCAGAGGCAAGTGACACCCCATAAGCCTGCCAACCTGCCAGAGCCAGGAGCCAGGACTTGACCCACATCTCCTGGACTTCAGGGTTTCTGAATCAACAACCCGAGAGATACTGCACAGCTCTCCCCACGCTTCTGCTCCCTCCCCATCTAAGTCCCTCACTCTCCTAGCTGTCACTCCTATACTGAAGTCGGAAATCTGCGGGCCTGGATCCGTAGCACTGGGCTGGGCCTGGGAGGCCTGAGGAAGCTTGGTGAGGCCAGAAATGTGGAGCTACCGCTGAATTCAGGGGTTTGTTTAGAGACACCCAGGAGGATCAGGTGATGAGCAAACAAAAAAAAAACATGTAGGAGAGCACGTTGTCCAGCTGGGAGGGTTGTGTAAATGCCTAGGGTTTGTCTATATTTATCAAGACTCCAGCTCTCTGCTGAGTTCACACCTTGGGGGAACTTTATGTTGGCCTGCTCTCCATTCCCCTTTCACTAGAGGGCAGCAGTGCTTCAGGCCTACTTTTGCAAATTCCTTCCTGTCCCTGACTGTGTTCTGGCCTTTTACCTTTCCAGTCCTGGCCAACCCTAAGCATGCTGGCACCAGGAACCGTGTAGCTCCTAGTGAATACAGGCCTCTCTCTCTCTTACTAATGAAGTTCTTCCGGGAGGCTTCTGACTTGAAAAACGAATACTCAAAAAAGACCCTAAGATTTGGGCGCCTCCATTCAGAATACTAGGGCAATCAAGTCCAGACCTTGTCTGCTTCTCCTGCCATCTGCCTTACGATCACTTCAGGAAGAGGAAGTCCCTGGTGCCCAGGGCTCACGGGCTGGGTGGCTTGGAGGTTGGTCTGCTTTATAGTACAAATGACAGCACATGCCACGCCCTGAGACTGAACTGGTGGGGTCAAATCCCCAGTCCTGCCACATTTGGCGTTTACCCAAAGCCTGCTTTTTTCCATTTTAACACGAGTAAATATCTTCCAGAGTTGTAATGTAGAAAAAATTCGGTTCACTGAGGCCCTCCACTGACTGATCTGTGGCCATCAGTGAACCAGGATGGAGGCCCCTGCTGGGTGGCATCTTCTGTAGACCAGGGTCCCTGACTCTCCTAGGCTGGGTGGAATGAGCCTCCCACCCCTTCAGGCACAGTCGCTGGGAGTGGAAGGGACTTAGCACAGGTTACACTGCAGAGCCATTGGGGGCTGGGGAGGTGGCTTCAGTATTTTCACTTTACCAGTGCAAGGGAAGACCTGAAGACCACCTATCCAGGCTGTTCCACAAACAAGGGGACTCAGACCCAACTTGTCTGGGGCACCAACAACTGATTATGGTGATCAGGAGTAACAGACGGCCACAGAGCCATCACTTCTTATTAAACGCACAAAGCGCCCTAGGCCTGCCGAGCCCCACTGGAAGCAATGGAGAGTTCTCCTTCCTCGCCCCAGCTGTTTCTCTGTTCCCGGCCCAGCTCCCCCAACTGCTGCAGGATGAAGCTGGGCTGCTGCTCTGTGGGGACGTACACTGTCCTTTAGGTGGTGGACTCTCAACACTTCCCCAAGTCACTCCCCTACTGAAGATTATGCTGATCTTCACACGAGTAACAAGGTGGACAAACCCCACAAAACGCCCATCTTCTCAGCTGCTCACGCAAAGAAGTTTGGTTCATGGAATCACACATATGAAAAGTTTTTCCTTATTTATTAGTAAGAAATTTTCAGCTTTCATGAGGTTTCTTCCATGTACTAGGGATGCACGGGGACCACCTGAAAATGTGAGACAAGTTATCATAAGGATCCCAAGATAAACACGAACTGATTTTGTTTCGATTTAATTTAAAGTTCCTCCCACCTTCCCAACCCCAAAGCCTAGAACTGTGAGAGAAGGAAAACGGAAAGAGTTCTGAAGACAGGGGTCAGAGTCAGCAAAGACGCCGCAGGATTTGGAACCTCGTCCTGGAAACCAGGAGTGCCAACCACCAGCATCTTTTATTAGAAAATAAAGCAAAACCGAGGAAAACAAAACTTGTTTTCTCAGAAAAGAAAACCTTACAACCCAATGAAGAACACTGGAGAATCTGCTTGAAGCAAGATGCTAAATACAAGTCTGTTAGTTCACTGAAAGTCTTTAGCAGAGAATTTTTTGCAATCCCACCCAACAGTCCTCGACTAAAACGCCCATGTTTCTTCACAGTTTACAAGGTAGATTCTCCCACCCAACATGACAGTCTTAAAACATTATCTCCATTCACTATTTGGGTAAGTTTTAATCACTGGATAATGTACAGATTTGAAGTTATCTTGAGCTTTAGTTGTGGTTTTAATAATCGCTAACTATTTGCAAATTAATGGCCCTTCTAGTAGTGCAACCTTAATCGAAGGAAAATAGGACCAGCCTTGAAACCGATTATGGATCATGGCCGATCCAAGCTACTGGCGGCACGAGGCGAGGGGTGAAGGGTTCATGCTTAGGCCAAAGGCAGGAGGCCATGGCGTGGCAGAGAGAAGTCATCTGTGGGGAGACCTTGCTTTTAACAGGCTTCTGGAAAAAAGCTAGGGGAAAAAGTGATGCCCGCTTTCCTTTCTCCCTTCAACCGTCACTGGACGTTTGGGTTTTTAAGGTTGTAAAGCAGCACAATCAAAGGTCAGACAGGCCCAAGATAAGGTACCAGCATTCCTTTAGATGCTCCATTCTCCAAAAAAGAGCCTCAGCATGTCTGCTAAGGGCGTGGAGGTTATCCTCGTTTCCTAATTAACAGAAGATGGGGTTATGAGGGCCGACACTGTTTTATTGACCTGAAGAGAAGAGCGCATTGTTGTCTAAGCCACAGGAAGGTTGTTTGTCCTAATTTTAAGCCTCTCGGTGCCTTTTTTAGGAAGGATACCTGAAAAATCTTAAAAAAGGCTTAGCCTCATCTCACCCCTCCACCCCAGGCCAACAAACAGGGCTTGTTCATGATGTTATTCGACTCCAGCATAAAGCCGAAACTATTTAACACTAAATTATTTAATTATCATGGATCTGACTTGGTACGTAAATATAGAAAAAAGCTTGTTCAATTGTTGTCCTCATTTTGTCCACTCAGAATCTTAACTGAAGCTCCTTCTACATGTCTGTTCCACAGCGCCCCAAACTCCGTCCCCAAAACGAAAATGCCAAAAAAGTCATTTTTTCCACACCTGCTCTTCGGTCTCTTCTTCTGCATACGTCTGCTGTTTTGAATGTTCCTGTATAAGAATTAAGACCAGTGGAGGGGAGAGAGAACCCACACAAAGACAATGGCGACCACTGAACTGATAAACATTCCACTCTGCCAGTTGTTTTTGGAAGACCGTTGCTTGTTTGAATATTTCTGTCACTGATTTTATACAGCATCTGGAAAGACTAAAGGCTTCCAGTGCCCTCCCCACTGCCCCCACCAGAAGTGAACAAAAGCATTTCACCTAAAGAAGCATATACTTAATTTAATCATTAAACACGAATGCTTAAATGAAATTTCCTTAACACTCCAGCCTTTATCACTAGCTACCAACAATCACTACTCCAAGCATTGGGGGGAAAACACAACTTTAATCATACTCCAGTCGTTTCACAATGACACAGCAGCAGATCAGAACAGTACTGCATTACTTAAGCCAACAGAACAGATGACCTAGTATCAAGATAACTGTATTCTCTGTGTGGTCTGTAAAAAAAGCTAAAACAAGTAAGCCCCACCCCTCCTCCCTTCCCCTCCCAAAACAGGGAAAAATTTACTTGAGGATACACTGCAAGAACTTTACACACTCACTAGGAGAACAGAAGGCAGAGCCAAGCGCTTATATGCAAGTCAGTAACCGAACAGCTTCATGAAGGATGAAATGAAGCCTCTGCAAAGGAAAATTTTAAAACCCACATGCCCCCCCCCATACCTAAGGAAAGGCCAGTTGTATAAACGTTACTAACACTAGATGATTATAAGCATTTAAAAGTTAACATGGCAAACTCTCCTGAATGTGTGGATGGTATTTCGTATTACTTCACTCTGTCAATTTATAGACCCTGACTTTCTAGAAACAGTGTTGGTGTAGTTACCTGTTATCTGATCATACCTCCCACCTGTCTAAGAGGTATTTATTCCTTATTTAGAGGGCCTCTATTGCCATGTGCCTGAATTATTAAATGCTCATCACTTACGAAGGATAAAATGTTTTCCTACTAAATTCGTTCTTCCAAGCTCAATTCTGATTCAAAGTGTGTTTCTGCAGACAAAGTTTCTGAAAGATTAGAGAAGAATCCCCAAGATTGCCCAACACTAACTACAAACAAACAATACTTTATTTAAATGAGGAGACAGCTTTCATGCCATTGCCACATTCTCTATATTAAACTACTTTTGTTTTTGAACGATTTTATGTTTTCTGCACAACGTACATCAATAAATTAAATTTTAGCAAGATTACCGCATCCGATTCTTAACACATTATGCTATCCTTTTGTAGGATTTAAGCGATCCAATGCTAAACAAGTTTTCTTGTTTTATAAACGCCGCCTTGGTTATATAAAGGCACCACCCTCAAGGCTTTTAGGAATTATCACTTGAGTGAGGTGTGTGCGATCCCATCATAGCCCACAGGTGTATGTCCTGTCTAACTTACAAAGGCTAGATGGGAGGCCTCACAATCCTGGAATCCTAGGGATCAGGAAAAATGGCCATGTTCAATAATGACACACAGCTCTTATTTAAAATAAGCACTTATCCCCACATGTACATTGCAGGTGTTAAACTTATTTGCTGCTGCCCATGTTTTCTTGCCCCAGATGAAATGTAGGCTTGATAATGAAGAGAAACCTGTCTGAGGCAAACGAAAGATTGGCAAACAGCACAGCCTCTCCTTCAATCCACTGATCCCACTCTGAATTATTTCAGCTTCTTTTATTCCACGATTAATGTAGTATTATTTTCATTTCATTTTCTTTATTCTGCTTTTGTAAAAGCAGCATTTTGAGATGGACACGATCTTTCCTGCTGCATTTCTTTACTAATTCATTATATTATTTCTCATCAATTCATTTTAGGTATAGCTTATTAGAACTTTAAATGGTAGACTTAGCTGTCTTAAATTGGTAGTTTCATTTGGCTAATTTTTTTTTTTTTTATGCAGATCCATGCGTTCATCAGTAAGGATCTCGTTATGCTTTTTCCCTAATGGAGGTAAGGAAATAGAATCTTTTCTGCCTTTACTTATCATTCGTTTAAAGGAGCTGTTCTCTCCAGGGCAACATATTGCCAGGCTGTTGCGGACTTTGAAGAAGTTATCTGAAAAAAGTCTATGAAAAGCTCTCCTCATCCACACAAATATTCCACCCTCTGTATTTGCTATAGATTAAATACACAATTTACAGCAATTTTGACATACCTTAGCATCTTGTTTCAGAACATACAAAAGAAAATACTTTTCCTACACTAAGAAAAAAAAAAACTTGCTTATAAATACAACTGAAAAATAGAATCTTACTTGAGAATATAAAAGTTACCATCAGAAGAATTGGTGGACTGAGTTGCTTCACTTCCGTTCACCAGTAGTGTGCTGTTAAGTGCCCTGCTTCCAAATGCAAGGGGATAACAAAAGATTAGAAATAGTACACATTTGGAAGCAGCGGAAAGAGAGACAAAGGAATCAGGAGAAGGTGGAGGTGGGGGAGGGTGGGGAGCTGGAAGGACCCACAGCGGAGGGGAGTGTGGAGCAGGTCAGCCCAGAGAACCGTCTGGAGTCGAGGGTATGACCCCACAGCCAGCCAGCCTCCAGCCTCCTGCCTCGGGGTGATTTTCCTCCTGTCCTCGCATGCGTGAGCCCCAACATTTCATGGAGGCTTAACTCAGACGCTTTCTCCTCCAGGAGGCCTACCTCCCACCGGGCCCATGAGGCCCTTTTCCCGACCCCTGGGGCACCTCAGCTTGTACCTGAGCTCGAGTCAGAGCTGACGGCGCGGGCTCCCTGAGCCCGGGGCCTGTGCCTGCTCCGTTGCCGGCCGGGGGGCCACGGTTCGCTGGCGAGCGTGTGCAGAGAGTGTGAATGGGTGTGTGCAGGCTGCCAGGCTTCAGATGCCAGCTACTGACTGTCGGTAGTGTGTGTGTTTCTGTAAGAGTGAATGAGCAGGGCTAGTGCAGGACGTGACAGGGTGGCGGGGTGAACCACAGCCTGGCATCAGGTCACACAGCCAGTGCCGAGGCAGGGCTTGGGGACGGGGAGGGCGCATGGGACCAGAACACAGGGCTCCAGGAGGCTCGGAGACCAGAGCAACTTTATTTATTTGTTTGTTTATTATTTTTTTAATGTTTATTTAATTCTGAGAGAGAGAGAGAGAGAGAGAGAGCATGAGCCGGGAAGGGGAAGAGAGAGAGGGAGGGGACAAGTTTGGGCTCAGGACGTGGGCTGGATGACGCCAGGAGGGAGACATCGAGCAGACAAGGAGGCCCAGCAGGAGGGGGGGCACCCAATAATGTGGTGTGTCCAACCCAGAGCTGA